TTGCTGCTGCTGCTGCTCATGACTGTGATGGTGATGATGATGATGGTGGTGGTGTCCAGATCCTGCACCCCCGTTGGCATTGGGTGAGGCATGGGATGTGGACTTGGGTCTGACTCTCTGCTCCTTGCTCTCCACCCGTTCCCTGTCCCGGTGCTTGTGCTTATGCGTGTGCTCCTTGTGCTGGCGATGGCGTCTTCTTGTTGGCACACAATGCGTATCGCAGCAGGGACTGGCCAGGTCATAGGCATCCAAGCTCACGTTATCCGGCGCCGGCACTGCTGACTTCTCCGTCGACTTCCAACGAAAGTGGCCCAAGCAGGGATTGCACGAGTGTCCCACATGACAATGCTTCCCCGAGGACTTCTCTTTCTCTGGCTTTGGTGGTTTAGCTGGTGGCTTGTGCTTTTCACAGGTGCGAGGCGGTGGTGCGGGTGGCTTCGCCGATCCACCGCTGGTGCTGTGATATTGGGTAGGAGCCGTTGTTGTGGGTTGAGTCATCGAATTTGCATCCACGGACTCGGTGCGCTGGAGGATATAGCGCTGTACCGGTGGCTGGTGATCACTACTGCTCCTTTGAAGACCCAATCCATCTACAAATTCCTCTGAGCTGCCGTGCGTCGGTCTTAGGACGTAGCGGTATGTGGGGTCCAAGTAGTGGTAGGTGAGCATAAATTGAGCGGGAGGAGGAATGATTCCTGGACCACCCACCCCATGCTGGCGGGCGGCAACGTTAGGCACATCCTCGGTGGACAGAGCGGGTCGGTAGAAGCCTGTTTCACCACCGCCCTCTGTAGGTGATACTCCTTCCCCATCACTGGGCGAAGTATTCGCATTGGCCTTCTTACGCGCTGGCAAACTGTGCGTCTTCCACTTGCCCTCTAATAACTCACGCTCCCTGAGGTGTACCCTCTCCAGCTCGTTCATCTTTTGCTGCAACATGCTTTGCAGCTGGATGTAGCGCATGTGGAGATCCACCTGGGAAAGCAGAGGTGTGTCATAAATAAATCGTAGTTTCCTATACTCTAAATACTGTACCTTCCTTACACAGTCCTCGAAAAGGACTACCATACGCATCCTGGTGTCACATTGCTTGATGAACTCGACGATGGTCTTGTGGTCCGCCTTTTCCATATCTTTTCCGTTGATGGAGAGGATTACGTCGCCCTCACGCATGCCAGCTCGATAGGCCGGACCACCGTACTCCACGTAGTCCACGTATGTGATCATTTCCAGCTCCTCATCCCGTTTGTAGTGGATTCCGTAGCTCTGCAGCGTGAACCCATATGAGTTGTTCTTCTTCTCAACGATGATGGTGCGACGTCTTCGGTCCTCATCCGGATTGGAGGCCAGAAATCGCTCCGATTTATGGCGCCCCAGAATATGGGTAGAACGTGATAGCTGGAATGTAATTAAATATTACAGGTGTATATCTTAAAGTTGTAATATAGAATTCCCCCCTGCAAGAGCGGGATTTTCTATAGCAATTCAGACCACATTGGCCATTATCTAGCTCTGCTCTCTATCTGTGAAAGGAATGTGTTGATTTGCGGTGAAAGTGAAAAGCTCGTATGCTAAACTATCGTTGGCACTTCCGGGTATTTGCACGTCTATGCAATGTGGCACACCGAATAGCCGCCAGGTGTGGTGGTGCAAACCATCAAAATGATGTTTGCCAAGCCCATTCCTTCGTCCCTACTGTTCTTGCTGCCTTTATTGAAAGCATTTCTATGAATACAGGATGAAGCCCCCAGCAGGCAACACTTTCACTGCCCCCCTGACAGGCAAACCAACCCGGAATACAGGTGCGGGCAAAATAATACTATGCAAGCCCTACCCATAGATTAACAAGCTGGTAATAGAATAAAACAAAAACAAGAACAAACTTTATAACATTGCCACGCATAAAGTATTGGAAAAGTTCGTGCTTTAAATTAAAATAATTTTAAATTACAGAGAATATTTTTAAATATATGTGATATGTAGGCGACACCTATTTTTAGATTCAACACGCCAAGTATAGAGACACAGCACAGTACGTTCATTAACGCTTTTTTGCGCGGGCGTAATAACTGGCTTGAAAGGCTTTAGAATAGACCTCCCGCCGACTATAATGCCATCGGCAAGGAAGAGCAAATTGTGTGGCATTATGTGCAGATATACAGTGCCCGTTTAAATGAAATTGTAAAGATTTTCCTTCATTTCCAAAAGAAATCATGAAGAGAATGAGCTAGAAAACTAGGAAAAATAAAATGCAAGTGGTGCACGAAGAATGACTTCCGCCTTATAAAAGCATTGATTCATTTGAGTGTGCAAGTCTAACCATTATTTCGATTAAAAATAAACTAAACTACAGCCGTAATAACTACATTCATTTAATATTGTGGCTCATATCGTGACTTTAGTGCCCGAGCTCCCCATTTATGGAGTTGTGGAGAATATGGCATGCTCGCAAACATGCCCTTTCATTCAGTGACCCATAAATTAATCCAACTGGTTAATTTTTCAAATTGCCCGGGCCAAAGTCAAGGCCTTTCAGGGACTAAGCTGCTCCCTGGGTGTACGATACATTTCAATATATGACTATTTCCGGGGCATTGAATTATTAACACTTGATCGACGACGGCGCTTGTTGGCGGCTGTTGAGGTTGCCTGGCGAAGCGTAAACTATGCATAACGACCCGGCTGGCTGGTGGGTTAAACCGCTGGGGGCAGCAAATGCACCGGGAGGGGAGCTGGGTGGCACAAACCACCCCCAAGTGCACCCACTCAACAAGGCAGCCAGCAACCACCATCCATCACCTACCACCACCCACCACTACCACCACCACCGCCACCACCCACAAGACAAATTCAATTGAGCCAGCACTGCAGGACCTTGTCGCATTATTATGAGTCAGTGTGGGGGACAATTGAATTCAGTTGGAGACGATTGCGACTAGCAGTTGGATACTTGGCCACTTGGACATACCTGCGCATATTCGATTTCCTCGTCGCTGGCATCGAGACTCTTGTGAAACTTAAGCCTGCCCAAGCTGCCGGTGCCATTGACATAGTGCGACGCTTGCTGATGGCTCTGATGATAGAGGTGCTGCTGCTGGGTTTGGGCATAGTGCTGGTGGGGATGCTGCTGCTCCTGCTGGCAGGCGGCGGCGATGAGTGAGCCCACGGAGGTGGCATTGGAGGCCGAGATGGACACCGCTGCCGCCGTGGTGGCCGCACTGCTGGCCGCCGTTGCAATGCTCTGGCAGCTGGTGCTCATGGGCTTGCTGGCCATCCTCCTCTTATTGATTTCTTCACGCAGTCATAATTACAGGCGGATCATTCGAGCCGCTCAAATGAGACACCGACAGATACAGATACCGAAACACGGGAATCTTTCGCTGCAAAACCGTGCAGCCTCGACCACTGAAGTTCACACATCGACTGCGGCTGCTGCTGGATGACTGCAATTAGTCATGGCCATTCATAAAGTTCACTGCGAGTTGCGTTTATCAGTGCTATATCGGTTCAGGGTAAAAGTTTTCCATATTCGAGTTCGGTTCGGTTTTGTTGTCGCGTGAGTCTGTTTCCGCTTGGTTTGTTCCACTTCCGTCGAAGCCTGGTGCCGTACTGAGCGCTGTAGGTGCCGAACGGAAGCGGGAGAACGAACGCAGAGCGGTACTGCGGAGAGCCAAATGCACCCACACGCACGGCCAGCAGGGAAAAGCGGTTAATATTTATGGCACATGTTGACTGCTGTATCGCTGGAACCCAACGTTTTGGGGGTGGAGCGCATGCGCCTACTTTGCATGGCCGCCAGAGCGCAAATAGCGGTTAAATGTTAACTGACAGGCCCCAAATATGTAATGTGACTTTAAAATTTTCGAAACTGGGAAGTCCCTTTATGGAATTATTAGCGGTAGCCCTTATTTGGCACTCAATGTTAAGCTAACTTCTGCGTTGGACTAAGTGGATTAACTTAATCCTATTCCGATTTGTTCATTTATTATTTAACTCCATTTTGTACATAATATACTATTATTTTTTTGTTTAATTTTGAGATTATAAGGCAAAAATATTTGCAACTAAGAACTTTAAAAAAATCGGTTTGAATATGGTTTCTGTTAAGCCAAAAAGTCTGTTAACCTGTCAATCGCTTAACCGCTGTTAACTCGTAACATACCTTGTACATTATCCACATTAAAACGCCTGTTTTGTTATTTTACAAATGTATTTATGTTTACAAATGGAACCATGCTACTCCGCCAACTCGCCACCAGGCACCAACTGAAATTGATAAATTAGAAATCAAATTTAATAAACACAACTAAGCAGAAGAGCGCCCACCATTGTGATGTTGTTGCCATTGAGCAGAATCTGATCCAGTTTGGTGATGCGGCGTCCATCCGGCGTGTTCTCATACTCCGTCACGTCGTCCAAGAGCATATTGACAAAGTCATCGAATCCCAGAAGAGTGCCCACCATCTCCTTGTCGTTCTTCATGATAATGTGGATGCGGGAACCGATGCATTTGTCCACCAGTTCTGAAGCGAATCGCAGTGAAGCCGGCAAAAGTGAGAAACACTCGATTTGTTTACTTTAACCAGTTTTACGTACCCAGTGGCATCAGGGTAGAGATGTTGGAAGGGGGTGGAACGGCAGTCATAGCTACGTATGATTTGTTTACTATTATTTATAAGAATAATTGGAATTCCGCTAAAAACTTTTTAGCAGCGAGGTAAACAATGCGGAATTCTGTGCAAAAACTGGCCACATCAAAAATGTCAGCGATGAGTGCTGAAAAATCTTCTTCACTGAGTTAGCGTGAATATAGCTAAACATTAAATATTTAATACAATTTCATTTTAGTTAAAACTTTTTTGGCTTAATAGATGCCCCATAAAACTTTCACAAAAAGTTCTAAAGAGAAAGAGAGTTCTTATCTAAGAGATAAAATAAATTATGGCAGAAATTAAAAGGATAAATTACCCGCCAATATCGACATCAAAACAGCTAGCAATGGATTTTTGGCATTCTGCGCTACGGTCTTACCCATTTTACCTCATAATTTCAAGATCAGGAGTTATATATCTAAACATTTAATCTCTTAGCAGTCGCTACCGTATGCTGGCCATCTGTGACGAGGGGCAGGGTTGTGCCGCCGCCCACTGCTTACATAATGTCCATGTCGTTGGGCGCCAAGATCCGGAAACTGGTCACCAGCAGAAGGCACTTCCTGCTTTTGCGCCGATCGCTGAACCAAGGTCAGTTGTTTTGAATACACCACAACATTTGAGACAATCATGTGATTGAGCGCTTTTGCAGATCTGACAACTGCGCTGCGACCCTTCTACTTTGCGGTGCATCCGGACTTCTTTGCCCAGCATCCGGAGCAGAGGAACACCAACGAGAACTCGCTGAAATTGCTAAGTGAGCACTTGGAGGCTTTGTATGAACGCAGGCAGCGGAGTGGAGACACCCAAGTGCTCAAGTTCTATGTGCGCACCAGTTCGGATGCTGACAAGCGGGACTCCTTCAAGCTCATCCAGATACGCACGGACTGGCAGAGTACACGAGATCCCAAAACCTTTATTCAAGGCCTTCTTGAGTCCTGCAACTTGTCCACGGAGTATGTAAAGAACATTAAGGCCCAGCCTGAGCCGCCAAAGACCTCTGGCTTGGATTTTAAACCAAGCCACGACTATCACTATGACATGGAGTTCGCCGAGTTTGAGTCTCAGTTAAAGAATGTTGGTAGAAAATTGTACATATCAAAAACCATTTAAATACTTATTTCCTTAACCCAGGAGCGTGCCAGCAAGCGTCCAGTGCTGACCACCTGGCTGGAGGAGAATGCAGCCACAGCCAAGCAACGCTCTAAGGAAACTGCGGATCTGCAGGCCGAAATCGACAAGCTTAAAAAAGTGCTGGTAGAGAAACTGGAGTTGCAGGATGCCCGCTACGAATGCGGCTGGAACATTGAGCATTACCGCGGCTGCTTGAAGACCCTAGAGCGACTGTCCAACACCCATTTGTTGGAAATGGCTCCCCTGAAAGGTCGTATAGTGGTTTTTGCGCCCTTTACGGGCATCAGTTTAGAAGGCCATGTAATGCTATTTACCGGCGACGTACTCAGCACCTGGATTGACTTCATCAAGAACATTCCGCACCATGATGCCTATTTAAAGGTGGTGCCCGTGTATGAACGGACACTGTCTCAGGTTCTGCTGAACATCCAGATAGGCCGTCGCAAGTTTATGCCAAAACAACAGGCAAGTGGCTATGCAAGCTACCTCATGAAGGTGACCACTTCGCTCAGCGATTACCTAGGCAAACAAAAATATCCGCCGGAATGGCCGAAAACGCTGAAAGAGTTCACCATAGTGGTGGAATCAGAGGCTGGTCCTCTGATGGTAAGCCCCACTGGTCAGTTTATCACACCAGCCACCTGTCCGGGCTCCATACTCGTCGACTTCATCAGCGTCAACATGGAGCAGGCCAGGGAGCGTATGAAGAAGTACGCTCAGGACAAGCACATCGAGCAGGAGCTGATGGACTCGTGCATTAAGCAGCTACAGCTACAGTCGCTGACCAAAGATGACGCCATCACCCCAGACAAAATGATAACATCCCTTAGAGACTTATCCCAGCTGCAGTTGAAGGAACTGCAGGGATGCAAGCTCCACATAACCCACTACTTCTCGGTACTGACCGACGGCGTTGTGTGCATACCCTGGGATTTTCAGCAGAGGTAGTTCGATTTTCTCATGTGCCTTATTAGTGAAAATAAACATAGTAATAATTTTTAGATATTAAGGTTGCAAAATCCCCTCTCATTTCCAGTTAAGCTGCATCGCTGCAGTCTTCGAGGCTCCAGGTGCATTCTGCCCGATGAGCTGAAAACTCCGATACATGACGCGTGTAGACGTGATGCTCCTCGCCATCCCAGTGCACAGGATCGCCACCGCACAGAACGGAGTTCTCAGTGGCAGCATCGTAAAAGGAAATTCCTCCATTTTCATATAGCACTCTCCACCAGTTTATGGTGGGCCGGCTGTAAACGTTTTTGGTGATCGAGTGAGTTGCATTGTTCGAGGTTGCAGTGGCTGGTTCCATGAGGATGTAGCGGCTACGCCAGAAGGCACTATAAAAAGCAAACTGCGGCCGGCTGTCATTGCTGTGACCACGTTGGATGAAATAGGCAGCCTTTTTTGGATCCCGAGCGTTACTGCAAATGAGATACGTCTGCGGGCATTCGTAGATGTACGAATTTTCTTGAGTCACATTGCGGATGCATACTTTTCGAGCTGTGTACAGCAGTTGCTCATCTTTGGAAAGGTGTGCATAGATTTCCGATTGCAGGGATTGTGCAACTTCTTTTTCAAAACCAGGCTGCGAAAGTAAATTCCTGATGTTGCTCTGCAAAGCCTGTTGCACTTCGGGATCTCCACGTTTGAGCTCCTCCCTGCTGATTAATTGAAGATTCGCTTGAGCCAACTGGGTCAAACTAGCCGTCAAATTTCCCAGGCGCTGCACGACACTTAGAGGTGTTTCCAGGGCCAACACAGCATCGTAGAGAACTTCCAGAATGTCTCTGAGATAATCCAAAGTGCTGAATGTTAGACGAATGACCAGCGAGTTTACCAACGGAAAAGTGGCCACTCGACTGGCTGTGTGAAATGGAGCCTCCAATAACTGGGCGCTTCGATTGATGAAAGCCCGATAGATGTGCTCCATCAGTTGGATTGGCACATCAGTGTGCACAGCCAGCTGGTCATAAAATTCTAAAATCTTTAGAGGATCGTAAATCTGCTTGGTCTGCTGAAGCTCCTTCCACAAAGCTGTGTAAATGGCCTGCTTGAGTTCCAAAGTTCTGGCTTGATTCGCTATTTGAAGGACGAGCCTACCCCGCTCCCAATCTCCTCCGACTTCAGAGCGAATCACTGACTCCAGATTGGAAGAAACTGGATAATCCTGGGCCACCGTAGCTGCCTCATTTTTCCAGACATCGATGTGGTATAGCACCTCTTGAACCGGAGCAGATGTGTTAAGAACGGTCAACAGTTTGCTGCTGCTATTTTGGAAATTCAAACCCAGGGCGCCAGTAAGGCCAACACCCACGAGAAGAAGCCAAGCGGATGAATTTGCCATTTTCGGCTGTACTGGTTGGATGCACTCGAAGGGCGATGCTTATATAGGTAAGTGGAGAATCGGTACTTATTTGTAGTTCAATCGGATATTTACTTGCGGATTTGGTTGTTGACCCTTGTGCCAATAAATGCATACAACGTTTAATTGCATTTTGCACTTGCGGAGAAGCTGAAAAACAATGATTATAAATGGCTGGCCGTGTACATATTGCATCATTTATATATATCCATTTAATCAGTGACTTCATGTTAAAACAAACTTGTGAAGTCTGTGATCTATATTAGAAATATGTGTTACAGAAAAACGAATTATTTTTGACAAGTACTTATTTAGTGTACGTTTTGTTTGATATTTTTATCGTCTTAATATTATTTTGATTTTTTCAAAATTTATTTTAGTTTTCTTAATGTTATAAAATGTTTCAAAATGTATTCTTGGGCTTAGTCTTAACAGGTGTGCAAATGTAAAATGTTAGTATGCTGTCTGAGGTTCGAAGCTGAACTAGATTTCCGGTTTGGAACCCTGGTTTTCTGACACCTTTCGTACAATACATTCATTTTACTTACCATTTTCCTTCGTTTTTTACTAAATTTATTAAATCAATTAGAAAATATTATTAAGTTAAAAAACGTATAGTTCTTGGATTTTTTCTTTATTTACTGTTTAAAGAGGCGCATAGAATTTCTTATTTCTAGTATCACAAAAGTCTATAACGACACTTAGAGGCTAGTTGATGCTAAAAATGCAAGGTAGAGCTATAGTATTTTGGCTGTTTTAACTATTAGTTACCTAGTCGTAGATCTTAGAGCTTTGTGGAGTTGTGTGACTTGATCGATCTGCGCAGGATGCTGGATCTCAGTTCGCCACCTGTTGAGGCATTGAGGGACGCACCCGTCTGGGTTCCCCGCACAAAAGCCTGCGATCGGACCTCCTCCACGTCGGCGTTTCTCTTTTCATCCTCATCGTCGTCCACCTGCTTGGCCAAACAGGGGAAGTCCCAAATGCTTTGACCACGTCCAAACTCCTCTCCGTCGCTTAGGGTTTGCGGCAGAACATGATTAAGGGTCTCCGGAAGTAGCAGCGCCAACAAGCCACCAACAATTCCTAATATTCCGAGAATGATCAGTGGGAGAGCTTGGGAAATGTTGGCCAGATAAACAACAAATGGTGCTATGATGCTGGCCACATAACCCATGATGTGGATGAAGGCCACTGCCTGAGCCCTAACCACAGTGGGCAGAACCTCAGCCGCCCATTGCAAACCAATATTATAGCTGATGTTCACAAAGAACCGACCCATGATGGCCAGGGCAGCGGAGTATATACCCACGGGCACCACAGTGGCCAATAAGCTGAACACTCCGCTGAGAACCATGGAGCTGCAGGCCAGCCAACGGCGTCCAAACCGATCCAGGATTACCGTGAGCAGAGTATCAGCCGGCAGCTCGGTGAAACAGGCCAGGGTGAAGGTGAAGAAGATGTCCAATCCCAATGATCCCACATTCCTCACATGTCCATCGAAGACCAGGGATATGGCCATCCAGATAACAATAAGCAGCAGAGTAGTGCGGCGCAATCGTGGTGACTTAAAGAGATCCAGTACAGAGTATTTGCCATTCTGGGCCTCCTGCTCCTGCATCCTCTTACAGCTGTCCGTAAAGATTTGATATGTCTGAGCGGGCACCTGACGCCCGTTGCCCTTCTCAAGTTTCTTAAGGATTCCCACGGCCTTGTCCACCTTTCCCTGTGAGACCAACCAGCGAGCTGATTCTGGCACCACGAAAGGCGTAAATATAGCCAGGAGTAGCGGGGCAGAGGTCACGATGGCCAGGTGTTTCCAATCTGCCAGGAAGTATGCAATCCAGGGAAGAAGGCATGCGGCGCCAGTGAAGAAGATAGCGATCGACATGTTCGCCACAAAGGTGCGGTACTTGGGACCAACGTACTCGAGAACTAGGAAAAAATGAAACACAAAAATTAAAGCCAGTTTATCGACTGAAAATAGACTTCTGTATCTATCATTGTTTTATGAGTTCTAATGGTTCTACATTATGGCAGACAGCTATTTATCACTTCACAATAAGGCTTATGCTTCTACTTTTACATTTCGAAATCACGTGGTCACTTTTTAAGTTCTTGAAACTTTCACAAGAATGGTTGATTATTAATGATTGATTAGCACATTCACATTCCAAGTTTTTAATTTGATTTAAATGATATCTCAAATGAACAATAGTAATAGGATCACGAACTCACCCAAAATGTACATCATTGTGAAGCAGTTGTCGAATGCGAATCCCACAAAGAACCGCATGATGGCAAACTCCCAGAAGTTGCTAACAAAGGCAGTGCCCACGCCGGCCAGGAGTCCCATCATATTGGTGCCGATCAGGGCGGGAATACGACCAAACCGATCCGCCACCCAGCCAAAGAGCAGTCCTCCCACGATGGCGCCCAGAAAGAATATGGACTGGGCGTAGGTGGGCAGGGCGGCGTCATCGCACACCCAGTTCTGCTCGGTGGCCACCGTCGAGTAGGGTATCTCCGTGAAGTTATATGACCAGCCGTTGCGGCACTTGACCCGCGGCCACTTGGGATCGGCCATCACCTTGCCCTGGCCAAGTATCTCCGTGTAGTTGACGTCATACATGTAACAATTGTTGTACTCGCCGTTAGTCATGGGTATGGAAAGCGCCAATCTGCGAAAAGGAGGCGCGGAAAGGGGGTTACTTTTCGGTCAGTGCAATTAACTCATCCAGGGTCAGGCATGTGGAATTGTGTAATTGTCTCCAGTTCTCAGACGCTCTAAGCCATGGCCAACACTTCTGCATTGAGCACACAAACAGCAAACAGAAGTACATATATCTTAACATGGTTAAGTATGCGAGACAACTTAATTATCATGATCTTGAGCGGTACTCGAAAATGCGGTTGCGACTTAAACGTTTTCGGATACACTCTAAATGCCCATGTCTGCTCCATTTTGGCCGGTCTAAAGTGTTTGCATTTGGGGTATTAACAAGATTGATTGCTGTGCAGTCATGATAAATGCGGTAAAGCGGGGAACTAACAAAATCATGTAATATTTAAGGTATTTAAGATTACCTTATTAGATACTTTTTATACCCGTTACGGTTGTATGTAGTATATATATATTCTTGATCAGGATCAATAGCCGAGTCGAACTGGTCATGTCCGTCTGTCCGTCCATCTGTCCGTATGAACGCCCCGATCTCAGAAACTACAAAAGCTGGAATGCTGAGATTTAAGTTTATAAGTTTATCTCCAAATGTTACCACGCCCACTCTAACGCCCACAAGCACAAACACTTGCACTTTCACTTTCATTTCATTCTATCTTGTTTTTCTGATGTTATGATGTATCAATTCAAAAATGTCCAGGGGCTAAAAATCTAAAGTCCATAACTCAACTAATCTTAATCGGATTTTGACGAGGCATACCTCTAAATGTTTCTGGAGCAATTCTCTAAAAATCTGCATTCAAATTTAGAATTTTATTTTTTTTCAACTTTTTTGTAATTTTTCTGATATTATGATGTTGTAGAAATGCAAAAATGTCCCAAGGCTGTAGTTCTAAACTCCATAACTCAACTAATCTTAATCGGAATTTGAAGTGGCATACCTCTAAATGTTTCTG